AATAATTTATTAAAATGCAGTACAAAAAATGTTAACTGACTAAAAAATACTATAATAACAAATTTCTTCCGTTTGCCACGTCATTTATATAGACCTAGGTAGATTTTAAAAAGTGACACAGGTACAATTAATAATATATTAGTTTGGCATAAAAGTTGCTGTCACGACATCGAACAATAAATTAAAATTCGTAAAATAATTTAAAATTATTAATTAAACAAATCTTTATAAAGAAACGCAAGTATACCAAATTTGGGCCCAGTCGAACTCCAGGAAATGATATCATAATAGTGTACTATATTATGGTACCACTCGATATACTTTAAGGTATCATAATATTGGAATGTCACCGAAGATCCGTAGTATACCAAATTTAAGAACAATCGAACGCCATGAAATGGTATCGTAATATGGTACTATATTAAGGTACCACTTTATATACATCATAGTTCAATCATATTACAATGTAACCGAAGATACTTAGTATACCAAGTTTGAGCCCAATGAACGCCAGGAAATGGTATCGTAATATGGTACTATATTAAGGTACCACTTTATATGCATCATAGTACCATCATATTACAATGTCACCGAAAATACGTAGTATCCCAAGTTTAAGCCCAATCGAATGCCATGTACGTAATATAGTACTATATTATGGTACCAGTTGATATGCTTCATGGTACCATAATAATGCAATGTCATCAAAAATACGCAAGTATATATCAAATATGAGCTCAATCGAACGCCAGGAAATGGTATTGAAATATGGTACTATATTAAGGTACCACTTTATATGCATTATAGTACCATCATATTACAATGTAACCGAAGATACGTAGTATAACAAGTTTAAGCCCAATCGAACGCCAGGAAATGGTATCGTAATATGGTACTATATTATGGTACCTCTTATTATGCTCCATGGTACCATAATATTACAATATCACCGAAGATACGTAGTATCCCAAATTTAAGCCCAATCGAATGCCATGTACATAATATGGTACTATATTATGGTACCAGATGATATGCATCATAGTACCATCATATTACAATGTCACCGAAAATACGTAGTATACCAAGTTTAAGCCCTATTGCCGCCATGTACCTAATATTGCTATATGGTACTATAGAAGGTACCACTTTATATGCTCCATGGTACCATGATATTACAATGTCACTGAAGATATAGTATACCAAGTTTAAGCCCAATCGAACGCCATGTATCGTAATATAGTACTATATTATGGTATCACTTGATATGCTTCTGAAAAAAATGGCGTCCAGTTGGCTGGAAAAGGACGATCGATGACATTTCCCATATAAATTTACATATAAAATGACAGCGATATTCATTTCATAGCTATCGTTAACGCCGTTTTTTTCCCGATTATACAATATGAACTTGGTATGAACACAATCGAACGTCAGGAAGTGGTATCATAATAGTAGAACAATACTTATTATATTGTCGCCGAATTACAATGAAAATTCAGGATTCAATTATACAATCAAACGTCAGGAAGTGGTTGTAATTTAGCTCATAAGATTTAATTCCAACTAACATGGCAAACTGAAAAAAAACAGCTCTGATCTATTTTAATATGTTTAAATGATGTAGCAAATTTGAAGGTAGGCTTTATCAGGAAGTATTCGATATGAATTACACAATGGCAACACTGCACAAAATTCTTCTAAATTTTGTTTGTAGAAAACTGTTTTCTTTTAAATTTATTGCCCTCTATTATGTAGTAGCGAAACTACCACATCAAAATATCTGATTTGGAGACAGACTTTTAAAGCCTGTCTCCTTTTGCTACCTACAATTTTATACATGTAAAGAGGCTTCTGTTGCGTAGCTAGATATTCTGTGCTATCAGCCTTGGATTGTGTGGATTTGCAGTGACTGCTTGATGTGCTCTATGCTTTTGTTCCAACAAGGTCCGTATATGAGGGAGACGATAATGCAATTTTATCGTCGTGTATAAAACAATACTTTTTTCCATAGCGAGTTACGTTTTAAAAAATATTCAGAAATTATTATTTCAAGGAATTTATTACGAGTAGAAAAAAATATTTTGCTGTGTTGGCGTTGGTTTCTATATAATTTGATAAATAAAGCTGTCTCTTTAGTTGTCAGTTTTGAGTCAATATTTTTTAATTCTCTTGCATTATGATTGCTGATTGAATTGGAGCCAGAAATGGCTCAAAACGAAATAAGTAAATTACCAACAGATATTCAGGCTGAGGCGAAAAACGCCATATCCCAAACTACTTCCATTTAAATCCTGAATAACTTATGAAAAGGAATACAAAAGTTTTCAAAAATGGAAGCAATTAAAAAACGTGCGAAAGGAAATAAAGTTTTTAACCTATCCTCGCTGTTAAAGTATCATTTAATCTACCTTTGCGGTTAAAGTACTATTTTATCTACTATTTTTGATAGATATAAGGCAATTTTAACAGTTGCTATGGAAAAAAAAACAAAATTTTCATAACCCTCTTCGTTCCTGAGCTACAGGTTCTTTTTGAAATCTTGCAATAACATCCTTCGGTAACTCTGTTATTGTGAAATTCTGACCACTCCATTATGGCATTCAGTGTTATTAAATTACATTATTAAGGGGCTAAATTTGATTGCTACCATTTTTTTTTTGAAAAAAGTAAAAAAGAAAATGAAAATTGATTTCACAAAGCCCTCTGACATTTATCTGTTTTTTAATATTTCCCCCCAAATAATATGCTCAGCTTTTTGACGTCTACATGACATGGCAAACGACAAAATCACGTTATAACACCGGTAGCAGATGTAATTTCCTGCTTTCAGAGCGCATTAAATATTAAAATCGCTTCGATCCCCCCAAGGATTGCCCTGATTTCCGTCCGTGTATAAAACATGAGGGATGAAATCGATAGATTGATAGGGTTGTGCCCAACCCTGTAATTTACCCACCTCCGAAATCACCTCTCTTTATTTTGAATATTCGACTTTATTGCATTTCCAGTAATGTATTGAATAATGATAAGACAAGTGACATCTGTTTAAAAAAGACAGCCACTTAGAGTGATAATTTGGTTATGCAAATTTAGAGTGACAATTTTGATTATGCAAAAGAAATACATATTCTATGAGCTTGCCTAACTATTGAGATTAATTCAAAAATAAATTCCAACATGAATAATGAACAAAACATTGAAACAAACAACACATACTACAAAATCGTTTTTAATAAAAAATAAAGAGACATAATATTATAAAGCTAGAATAGTATGCTATTTATGCTATATTTGTGACACCAGCTAAAGATGCATTCAACCAGCAAATCAAATAGCAAAATATAACGGGTAAACACAAGAGTCTTTTTTAGACTGACAGGTGTCAAATGCAATCAATATACACACACCGGAAAAGTTTAGGGATATTAGAATTTTATCCAGCCATTGTCAGTAATTTTATTATTTGCAGTTCTGATATAATAAAATTAAAATAAACAAATAGTTTACAGGACATATTGGAAATAAAAATGCGAAATTTACCGAATTTTTCAAATTTACCTTGATTTTTATTGAACTCAAAAAAATACACACATTTTTTTTTTATTCTAAACTGTGAATTAAAAAAAATGATAAAACCATTTTTACTTAATAAAGGGTATGGCCTCCTCTATTGTTCATTACAGCTCTACATCGTCTCTCCATGCTCCTGATCAGGTTGTCGATCTCTTCTTGATGTACAGCTTGCCACGCTGCATTCACGGCCCGAACCAGATCCCTACGAGTTTCGCGAGGCATACCCATTCTCAAAATTCTTCTTTGGACAGCGTCCCATATGTGCTCGATGGGGTTGAGGTCAGGAGATTGTGCCGGCCAGGGTAAGATGTTTAATTGATGAGCATTGATAAACTCACTTACCACTCTGGCTGTATGAGGCCGTGCATTGTCATGCATGAGAATGAAGATTCTCCCAAAATCACTGGCATATGGTAACACGACAGGCTTAAGAATTAAATCGCGATATGTGATTCCTGTTAGAAACCTTTCAAGAAAAACGAGATCGGTTTTTCGGCCTAACTGGACTCCTCCCCAGACCATAACTGTTCCACCTTGATAAGGGTGCACTTCCTGAACATGATCCAACCGAATAAGATTTCCCGGTTCTGTCCATACCCTAAGCTTTCTCGAATCCGGATGAATTCCAAAGCGTGACTCATCCGTGAAGAGAACATTGGCCCATTGTTCATTCGATCACTGAACATGATCAAAGGAAGAGCCCACAAATCTGGTACCTCTCGATTTCCTCTCGTTAAGGTTTGAGCTGTCCAGGAGCGTCTTCTTCTTAAGTTGACCTCTCTTAATCTATTGCGAACAGTGTCAGGACTAACGGTTACATTATGTGTTTCCTGGAGAATTAAACTAAGCTCTGGTGCTGTAAGAGTCGGTCGGCGTCGAGCATTTAATTGTAAAAAATGATCTTGCTGAGAGGTAGTAATGCGATGTCGCTCTGTGTGCCGTTCAGCAACATCACCACTTCTACGGTAGCGTGCACTTAATCGCGATATTACACTTTGCGTTGTATTTAATGCTCTAGATACGTCGATTTGGCGCATTCCAGCTTCGAGCATACCCATGGCCCTTAGCATTTCGTCTCTGTTAAGATGTCTACGCTCCAGAATGTCGTTTAATACTAAACAGAGTTATTTGAATGAATTCTGGCCTGTTATCATAAAAACATATCCAGTACAGGTTAAATTCGAACAACTGATGCTAAGTGCTTTTTATACATTTGACAAAAACACTTCTGCAAATATCCCAAATTTAGAAATAACTAGTGTGACTACTTCGTTTCAATAGGAAAGTAGAAAGAATCTCGGCCTACAAATATGTGGTTGTTTATTCAAAACATTTATTTTTAACTTTAATAAAATGATATCCCTAGATTTTTCCGGTGTGTGTATTAATCGGGTTAGTTGGGAATTACAGGTTTCTAATTTACCTACCTTCAAAATCGCCTTCGTTTATCTCGGATATTCGGTTTTCTTGCATTTCCAGCTTCTTTAACATGTCCAGAATGACCAGAGATTTTTGAGGAACAACCGTTAGGCCATTGCCCCCCAGGTTTAATCGTTTTAATTTTCTGCAAAAAAAAAGAAAAATTTAAAATATTTTTTTATTTTTTTTTTGAATATTCTTTATATCTAAACGTTCTCCAACCTAGTGTGAGTACATATCAATGTAAAAAGTTTGTTTTTGAGTCCCCTGCCTCTTGTCAGAGGTTCTACATTATTCTTTATATGTTATAATCGAAAAAAACGGCGTCAAAAACGACCGGGGATGACAATCTATGATATTTTTAGCGAGGTCAATCTCTAGATGATATTTACCAAATTAGAAACACACAAATCAATTAAAAAAAAATTTTTAGATTACACCATCTAAAAATAATTTTTACGCAATATAAAAATAAATTAAAACCTTCTTAAATAATGATTCTACAGCCGTCAGTGACGCCGTTTTTTATTCGATCGTATGATACTTAGTGAACAATCTACTACAAACAACTAATTGGAAAAACCTCTCAAGACCAGGATTGCAGACATTATTTGTCAAATCAACACCACATAAGAAGAATATTTATTTTCAGTTTAATGGTCTCTTTTTTCTTTAACCATTAAAATTATATCCATATATGTTTTTTCCATAGCAACTGCTAAAATTGCCTTATATCTATCAAAAATAGTAGATAAAATAGTACGTTAACCGCAAGGGTAGATTAAATGATACTTTAACAGCGATGATAGGTTAAAAACTTTATTTCTTCTCGCACGTTTTTTAATTGCTTTTATTTTTGAAAATTTTTGAATTCCTTTTCATAAGTTATTCGGGATTTAAATGGAAGCAGTTTGGATATGGCGTTTGTCACCTCAGCCTGAATATCTGTTGGTACTTATTTCGTTTTGAGTTATATCTGCTTCCAATTCAATCAGCAATCGACACGAAAGAGTATTAAAAAATATTGACTCAAAACTGACAACTAAAGAGACAACTTTATTTATTTGTCAAATTACGTAGAAACCAACGCCTACCCAGCACAATATTTTTTCTACTCGTAATAAATTCCTTGAAATAATAATTTCTGAATATTTTTTAAAACGTAACTAGCTATGGAAAAAAATATTGTTTTATACACGATGATAAAATTGCATTACCGTCTCCCGAAATTAATTCACTCGCGATTTCATCGCTCGTAAATTAATCTTTTCTGTCGAATCTTGTATAAAAAATAACTATTTATATAATTATTGTACAGAAATATATAACATAATAGTGCGTATCATATACAGTGTAATTATGCAGAGTTAGTAGAAACCAACGCCAACCCAGCACAATATTTTTTCTACTACGTAATAAATTCCTTGAAATATTAATTTCTGAATATTTTTGAAAACGTAACTCGCTATGGAAAAAAATATTGTTTTATACACGACGATAAAATTACATTAAAAATAACTATTTTCCTTTTTTGGATACGAGGTTTTGTAATAAATTGAAAGATGGAAAACATTTTTTTTATTATGCAACGTTTCGCTCAAACATAGTGGACTTTTTCAGGCATTACTTTATTCTAAAAACTAAAAGTCTTGCTAGCACCAGTCTCTATAAATGAGTGTTGTTGAACACATTGGAAGGAAAAACAATTATATCGATATTTAATTTCAGTGTGTCTATATGTATTATTTTATATTGTATTTACTAATTTACGTTCAATGCTTTTTGTATTTTAAAAATATAGAGATTGGAAACTTATTTATGAGAAAACCAATAATATACATTTACTGCTAACGGTAAATGTTACTACAACCCTTGAACCATACAAGAAAAGCTGAAAACTTCGTTCAAAAGTTTCCCCAGAGCACAATAAACCAAACTAAAGTGTCCCATAAAGTAGCTGGTTTAGGACGCTTGAAATAATTTCGGTACTTTCAGGTAGATAATAGGCTACGCCACTGTATAACGGGCATTTTTATTAGATCGTTTTTATTAGGTCATTATTTAGACTAATCTAGATCTAAGTAGTCTTAAAAATAGAAAGATTAGAAGTAGTAATTACCTAAATAATGTGATTTTTTCTACATATAGAAACTCACATATACCTACTCTGTTTTTTCTCAGATAAGATCTCGAGACGATAACAGAAGAAAAGTAGATGACGTCCCATACCAATCTATTTATTTAAAAAAAGTTTCTGATATTTTTTAAGTTAACTATGGATGGGTTTAAATATAAATCCGTCATACGTCGTATCTTGTTGTTTTTAGCCAGTTTTATTGGTTTATTTCAAAAATGACAGATCATATTACAATTTTATTGGTTTGACGGAACGATGAACGACAAGCGGACGCCGATGCGTATGAACTCGCCATTAGATTTTTGAGGCTTGTGAAAGTCTTGCCAAACTATAAATAGGTTATAATTTTGTGTCAACTTATGTCAAATATCTGCGCTTTGGAAGATGATGCATTTTGATTCGTGTTATTACGTGGGTTTTGTGTCTTTTGAAGTCAAGTGGAGGAAAAATCGAGGGAAAATTAACTGTAGACCCAGAGCACAGTTTATAGTTAATACTCGCTGCCCAGGCAGAAAGTCTTATAAACCAATAAAGTTACCATCAATAAACTTTGTATACCATCTCGTCGTAGATAAGTGCATCTCGTATATGCTACAGGGATCGTACTAAACATATACTATTGGAGCAGCTATAAAATATCGACATCACACGATAGGTAAATAATGGATTTTAGTACTGCAGAAAAATAATGTCAAAAGGTACGGGTTTAAAAACATTAAAAATTAAAGTTAATTAATCAACCTTTAAGGTATATAATTTGGTAAGTGTTACTATTAATAAAATAGTTTGTTTTATTTATCCCTGTGGAATATTACAAATTTGTATTTGTCCAGCTGGTTCAAAAAAAAATGAATACGACTCTTTCCACATTTTTTTAGAATATTTGGGCAGTGTATATTTATGTTTCAAGTATTTTAACATGTTAAGGTTATTGTGACATTGTATAAAACAACTTTGCTTTTGACAAAGTCGCAAATAAATTTTTCAGAACGTCAGTATGACATGAGTAGAGAAATGGGGGACTGGTATCATAGAATATACTGCCCGAAATAATAAAAATATGTTTTAAATCGTATTCAATTTTATTGGAACCAGCTGTACATAAGTTATATTGATAAATATAATAATAAATGCGGAAAGTTTCTTGAAGCTTGAAAGTAAGAAATGGTTCTTTTTTATATTTTTTGGTATATGGTGTTTTGTTGTTGTTTGTTTTGTATTAACACATACCGTTTTTTTTTAATAAAATTACTCGATTACATTTTTTCAGTTTCATACAGTTTTTTGTCACATATAAAATAAACTACTTTGAAATTAAAATGATAGACACATCTATCACTATCAAGGATCTTGTCGATGGACAGACTATACCTCATTTTTCGAAACTATGAAATGGTTTTTAGTGATGTAACATTTCAAACAAGTTATATATAAACTAAAATGAAAATTGCAAATGCTGTTATCTTATTTTGTAATAATCTACATCTCACAAAACATATAAAAAGAAAAAATAAACTAACTAGACCAACTGCTTTAATATTACAATATAAATGTAAATTGCCAATATCCCTATCTGATTCTCGAATGTACCTAATAAAGTAAGTTTGTTATGTCTACATAGTAATTGTACTGAATTCTACGAAATGAAGTTGTAAGTTTCTATTTTTGTTTTTTCTTCAAACTGTTTTAATGTTTTAATGCAAATAAAGTGTTTTCCTTCTAATAGAACCCAAGTGAATATGCAAAAATATTTTATCCACCAGACACAGTGAGTGCTACAAAACAATTTGCTTGGTAATGCCTTGCTTAAAAACTCTGCATAATTACACTGTATATGATACGCACTATTATGATAGATAGTTCTGTACAATAATTATATAAATAGTTATTTTTTATACATAAAATGATATTTGATCGTCGACCAAAAAAATTAATGAATTAAGTGAATTAATTTCGGGAGACGATTTTTTAAAAAATATTCAGAAATTATTATTTCAAGGAATTTATTACGAGTAGAAGAAATATTGTGCTGGGTTGGCGTTGGTTTCTATGTAATTTGACAAATAAACAAAGCTGTCTCTTTAGTTGTCAGTTTTGAGTCAATATATTTTAATTCTCTTCCGTGTCGATTGCTGATTGAATTGGAGCCAGAAATGGCTCAAAACGAAATAAGTAAATTACCAATAGATATTCAGGCTGAGGCGACAAACGCCATATCCAAACTACTTCCATTTTAATCCCGAACAACTTATGAAAAGGAATACAAAAATTTTCAAAAATGAAAGCAATTAAAAAACGTGCGAGGAGAAATAAAGTTTTTAACCTATCCTCGCTGTTAAAGTATCACATTTAATCTACCCTTCCGGTTAAAGTACTATTTTATCTACTATTTTTTATAGATCTAAGGCAATTTTAACAGTTGCCATGGAATAAATATACAAAGTTTCTTTTAGGCTGTTGATTAAATAGTAAAATATTTGCACTAGGTGTAGAAATATGATTTTATTTCAAGCTTTATGATAGTAAAAATATTTTTTTCGAAAATATATTTTTTGTATCTGAGAACTTTATACTCTTTAATTGAATTGTTGTTAACTCTTGGCAAATTTAATATTAAATTTTAATGAACTACATATTGAATTAATTTCAAGAGTAACTCGGAAGCTATTTTCTTTTTCGATCCTATGGTAAATTACTAAGAAAAACTAATAGAGCTACTTTAGTTGTAATAGACTATTACTCAAATTCTGTTCAATTATTTTTCTTCTCGGAAATAATAGCTAAAATACTTAAAAATCAAATTAAGGGCATTTTGTATCAAAGGTCAGTAGGTTAAAAGTTCACGACAACTCTTGCAGGGAATTTAACCCAAACATAAATTCAGATGATGTGAAATTTACTATAAATTTAATATCAGATAAAAAAATAAAACAAAAAATAATAATAGATGGCTGGAAAAAGTCATGCCCTAGAAGTTTTATGTCAATTTTTAGTAGATAACTAATTCT